CCGAAGGGGGATCCCACGGGGCACGGTTTCCCGGCAACATTTAGCCCCGCCCTGACCAACTGGCGGGAATCGAAGGGCGGAGCCCCCCGGAAATTGCCCTCAAGGCCGGGGCGGGGGGAGATCCGGGCTTCGCTTACCTTAACTACCGCTACCCCTTAAAACGCGGGGCGTGCTCCAAGAACCCTAAAGCGGGGGAGGAGGGGTTCCCCCGCAGAGAAAGGCCGCTCGCTGCAAACACAGCGCTATCGCCTTTATTTCGAATTAATACTGTCGCCTCCCCGGGGAGACCCTCCCCTGCTCCTCTGTCACCCCGTTTAATGAGCGGAGGGACGCAGTGAACAGGAGGCGCCGTGACAGAACGGGGCAGGGGGGCAGGGGGGTGGCCGCCTGCAGCTGGGAACACTGGGGACAGAACAGGAGCCGGGGACCGATCAGGCAGTGCGGTGCCGGGTGTGCACTTTGGTCACCGATGGACACGTGGCTGGGTCTGTCGGCGGGGCGCAGCCTTGCTCAGCTCAGCAGCCCTCGGCTGCCTCTTTCCAGAACAGAAACCACGGATCTCCCGGTGGCGGGAGGGAGGGGAATACCGACCCCTCGCTGCTGCAAGGCACCGGCATCATTCCCGTTTAAGATGCATGCGAGGAGGCAGGAGTTCCTCGTGACTCATTCCCGGTGGGCTTAGAACTTACCAGAACACTTAATAACCGGCAAATAGGGGGGTGGGGGGAGGAGAAGTTAGCGGTTTCCTTGAATTAAGTTTGATGTGTTCATTCTTCAAAAATCATCTCTGCTGTAGCAGCCTTTATATGGTTTGATTAGTGAGGCCGACTAGCTAGATAACCTCCACAACAAAATGCTTTGATTTCCGATAACGTTATTAGAACCGATCAGTGGAATATTCGCGTGGCTTTTCCACCCGGCGTCCAAGCAGTCAAGTTGACAGCATGGTCTTGACTAGGCTGCACATATTCTCCCTGCTTTACACGAGGACGGTTAACAGACAATCAGAACTAGTTTACCGTCTTCTCAGGGTGAGCTGCCAGTAGTTGGAGCTCCAAGTTTGGCCATGTGCTTCCTTATGGAAAGGATCACCATTTAGATTTCAGTAATAAATACTTTACAGTGTCTTTGTGACACGGAAGAATGTCAGTTTTGTGAAGCACACACTGTTCATCTCTGAAAAGAACGCGGTGAATACTTCCTGCTTCCATTTTCACTTTCTGATGAATCAATATCTATTTATTAAATATGTGTAAGGAGCAGACGTGCCTCTCCTGCCACTAAAAACCTCCGTATATTTTTCACATAGAACATGGGAGGGTAGACCCCTGGCAGAGTGGGAAGACCTGCAGTTCTGAGAGGTGGCAGGGAGAGAGCTGGACTTGTGTCGGGGCACTGGTTGGAGTGTCGGCTTAATCACCAAGCGCCAAGTGATGTTGGGACAATCCCATCACACCCCCTGGAGCCCCGGTTTCTCCTCTGTGTTAAGAGTAACGAGTCTTTCCTGCCAACCTCACTGTGTATTACCTGACTCTGATGTGAAAGGCCGCTGTAAAGGCTAAAGTACTACACAAAACCGTGTTGGTAATCTGTATGTGTGACAAAGGATCTCTGGGGAAGCAGAGCTGCTCCAGGTAGAAACATCATTGAAGGATTAACTCGGAGTTCTTTAGGTTAGACACGTGATAAGCTAATGTAGCAAGATCCTGTCACTGAGAATTATAGAGCATCCAGCGTGGAGCTATGTGACTTATCATTTCTGTACCTATGGGCCATTGTAAGAGTTAAGCCAGTATCCTCTACGGACCAAGAAAACTTTTTGTCAAAAAGTTGTCGCATCACCGTCTTGTATAAAGACAGGCAGACTTATGTAAAGTGGAGGCTACAGCTTTTGATGAGTTCCCTTTGTTTTTTTTTGTGGTTGCAACTGGCTTTTAGGTAAATGGGATTGTTCAATTCGAAAATGACACACATTTTCCATTCTGTGGCGGAGAAGGAAACGATGCAATCCCTTGTACATATTGCACAGCTTGCGAGAGGCCAGATAAACTAACCTTAGGTTTTTCCATGTTGAATCTATTCTGCCCTCTACTGGACACGTTTGTGGTGGAGGTTCTGTGGGTGGTTCTTGAACTTAAAAAGAATATATGCTACTATATACCATATATATATATGATATACACACACACACACACTATATATATATATATATATATATGTATATATATGTATGTATATATATATATGTATATATATATGTATATATATATGTGTATATATATATATATATGAAAATCATGAGGTCCCATTCCTGGAGCTGTTCTTTTTATTCTCTCCTCTTGTAAATGTGAAATAAAATGCTTTGTGAACTCTGGAGTGCTGTACACACCATGTATTACTAAGAACATTTTCCTTCTTTTTATTACATGAAGGTTAGAGACAGTATCTCTTGGGATCTATCGAAACTCAAGGAAGAAGCGAACAGTGTGGAGGCTCGGTTACATCAGAAAGAAAAGGGCTCTTTCATTTGGTGAATGTTTCCTTTGTCAGTCTCTCCTCAGAGGCAAATCCGGTTGACTGACATTCAACCAATAGCTCCCACTAGCGTGTCTGGTTATTTCGGGGTTGAGCGGGCCTCAGGTGACAGCGGCGAATTGTCACGATGCACACGCATTCAGGGAGCAGAGCCAGGAAAGTCTGAGCAGGGTTGTGGGGCGCCGGGCGATGCTGCTGCTTGTCCGTCTTGCTTGTGACTCAGCAGCTGTTGGTTGCTGCCCTCTGAGGAGATGCCTTTCTATTGCCGGCCGCTCTCTGTCCTTGTTTCTGCTTACTGCCTTCTATCTTTAAAAGTACAAAATAAGCAACATTGACGGAAGCTCACTCACCGCCTGCCGGCAGAATTGCATCTTGATCCTCACAGCAGCCTCTTGAGGTTGGAATAGGGTGTCCTTGCTGTCTGATTACTCTCGATCCTCCTCTCTGCCTTGCGTGCACAGAGATGGAGAAGCCATCAAAATCGGAAAGTACCCACTAATGTACTGAAAACTAATCCGTTCTCCCCTCAAAAGCCCTTCCCCACATATAGTTACTTTTGCTGATGGGTAATCACTAGCATACAATGCAAATGTAATGCAAAGCCTCACAGCAAAATGTGCAAACGATGCAGAATTTCCTGGCGTTGATGCCAATAGGGGAACCTTTAGGGCCCGAGAGCCTTGGAGGCGAGGACATGGGTGCGTGTTAACTTTGCTCCTTGAGACCTGGCCTTGCAGCCTGCCTTTCCGAAATACATTTTGGAAAATTTTGGTATGTGTGCTGTTACATAATTGAGTGGAGGCATAAACATGGGCCAGATTTTTATCCTTGCGGGTCCCCCAGGCTTTCACGGAATGAGAATCAGGCTCCCGGAACATTATGCCAGTGATTTTTGACTGATACATGCTCGTGGGGTTAGAGAAACAGAAGTGTAGCTACTTAGAGTCCTTAAAAATGGGGGGTGGCCTCAGATTTATAAACGCTGGCGGCTGTGGCACATTATTCATGGGCCTAATAGCCTCGTGAGCTCTTGCTTTTTTTTTTTTTTAATTAATTTCTTTAGCTTTTACATTCACATTGTTAATAGCATCTCATTTTTATATAGGATTTTGCAATTTGAGAGTGTTTTTCATATGCATTATCTTTTTCTGGTCATAAAACTATACAAAGGAGCAAAGGGGGAATAGCATTCGTCTGTGTTTTAAAAGTGAGGACCCGAGATTAGTCTGATGTCGAGTAGTTTGGATGTGATAGTCCAGGACTAGAATAACTTTCTGGCCTTCTGGTTAAGACCTTTTACTACTCCCCAAAACAAAAAGGGAGACCAAGAAAGCAACAAAGAAAAAAGAAGGAAGGACAGTATGTAACAGAGACTGGAGACCAATCGTGCTTAATACAGCATGTAAGAAGGTCATTTTTCAATTATTTTGCATAATATATTTTCAGAGTAGATGCTTTAAATTCATCTTTATGTTCTCTGTATGAGGAGGAGCAACACATCTCTGTTTTATAAAGGAAAAAATTATAGAAAATCAATGTAGACACACTAGGAAAATCAGTTGGCAAATTAAAGAAATAGTCAGGTGTCCATAATCAGACAATGACTAAAATAATTAACCAAAGTGGAATTACCCAGACTGATGACCCCATTTACCCAGAGCAGCTTTTAAAATCTTTTCAACACTATATTTTATCATAAATTTTTTTTCTTTAAAATTGGTTGGTTAGCTATGGTAAATCATACAAGTCAGTACAGTTGATGTACTTTTCTCTTTAGGGAAAATTATACATGGCCCTAGGCCAGTGGTCAGCAAACTCATTAGTCAACAGAGCCAAATATCAACAGTACAACGATTGAAATTTCTTTTGAGAGCCAAATTTTTTAAATTTAAACTATATAGGTAGGTACATTGTTATTAACTTAATTAGGGTACTCCTAAGCTGGCCTTTGCTAAAAACGTCCTCAATCTGATTGAGGTACGTTCGCTGAGGGACCCCTTGCAATTCTCCCATCCACACTCGTCTTGTATACTTGTTTCGTCTATCTCCTTTCGTTCATCCTCTCTCTATGTCCAAACCATCTCGACATACCTTTCTCAATCCTCGACACTACATCTTCTTTCACTCCACAGCGTTCCCTAAAATTAACTTAATAAACTTTACTTAAAATTT